AGTGTCTGTGGGGGTAGTAATAAAATCCTCGGAAGTGGACCACCGAAATCAACTCGTGTGTTCACATCTGATAGAGCGAGCCTGTGTACTGTACATTAAAACCCTAAAAATAGGATAAAACTAATAACTACATATCAAATAAATTACCCACCCAGTTTAATATTTAAATCAAAACCGGCTCTTAACTGACTGAATTTCCATCATAAAAACGTGCAGCACGTAGCCGATCTGATTACCTTTTTTTTCCTCGACGTCACTACTAATAAAGCTTTCTATAGAAAGCGAACCTTACCTTCTAAAACAAGGGTTTTCCACAAGAAACGGGTTGCTTGCTTTCTCTCGGCTTAACTCACACCAACAATATCCACAAATGCGTCTGCCACATTTATAAGGTTCAGGAAAATAACTACACTTGTAGGTTAGAATAAAACAAAATTTCCGGATTTCCTGTTGAGCTAAAACCTCAGGTTGTTTTAGATGTAATGTTCGTGGATTAATCACACGACTATCAAAAGTAAGTAATTAGATCATACTGTCGAACTTGGATCATATACATTGTCAAAAACAAAACTAAAAAGAAAATAAAAATAAACTCACTGTGACAAAGTTTAAGTTACAATATTGGCAAAAAAGTTTAAATGTATCACCAAGCTAACAGGCACCCTATCAACAAATAGATTAAACAACTAGTCAAAGGCTCGTAAGTTCAGATCAACAAAATCAATTAGCGAGTCACAAACGTCATTACAGTGAAACCCGAAGAATTTCCACTGACAGCCGTAAGCTGGAAAAGCAAGAGCTACACTCTAGGACGAAAATATTGTTTTAAGTGACATCATGACCACTACCACAACAAAGTAGCTAAAATCTGCGTTCCACCACGATAGGCCCCGAAAATGACAGTTGTAAGCTGGAAACTATAGAACCACCATAGCCACTCTAGGAGAGAACTCTAGTCTCAAATGACACAAAACATTCACAATTAGAAGGTATGTGCTACAATAATATTTTAACCTAATCAGGCCCAGAAAATGTTACCAAAAATGTTAGGGCGAAATCAGATCGTAACACATTGAAGCTTACGATTCAGAACTAAAACATGACATCTAAGGTCCAATTATGAAATCATGACAATATAGAATATCTAGGAACGCAATAATCAGACGGAAGTCTATTAGCTCCAGCCCTGAAAATACTTGGAATATGCACCAGCTCGAAATCAAAAAGAAGTACAGTTTTGTGAAAAACTTTAAAACCCCAGAGCTGGGCTGTAAGAAAGAATGGGGCCAATAATTAATCGTGTTTAAAATCAAAAGGCATGAAATTTAGTGGTATACGGATGTATGGGCGGGCCTATAATCAGGTACTCTGTAAGTTTGGGTAAATACTCAAGCATCTTCCAGGTAAAATTTTACGCAATTGAGTTCTACATCCCGAGAAACTATCTATAGCCAAATAGCCATTAAAGCGCTGAACTCTCGCGCAATCAGCTTAAAAATGGTTTGAGGGTGCCTAGAAAATCTGAATGAGCTAAGCAAGAAAAATACAGTTACTGTCACTCGCATAGATCATCTTCATAAACAAAAATAAAATAATCTAAATGCCTACTACAAAAATATTTTATTTAAAAAAAAGAAGCTACCGATTTTGTCCTAAGGACCATCATCAGGTCTTAAAAAATTGGAATGTAAGGTATAGTCAAATAACATGAAATAAAAAATATTACTTACTCATCAGTATAGTCAGGGAAAAAAACTCAGCCATACAAATATTGCCATTTATGTTAAGAAACAAAACAAAAATCGCTTTAGCGCCGATTTTTTCACCCTTGAGTAAAATTACACGTAGGGTTATTTGACAGATTAGCGAATGATCTGCATCTGTAGGGTGCGGAAGGATGGGTTGTTCCACAGCAGTTAAACATCATAAGAGATAGCCAGCCTTTCAGGTTAAAGTCCTGCAGGTTAATAACATTGCCGACAGGTATCTCTTGATGCCCCATTTTTGAAAAGTGGTCATTTGTTGGGATTATACCACCGGCGATGGTAAATGCTCGGGTGAGTGCGTTGTGTCTGCTTGCTCCACAGGGCGAACAATAACCTAATCAGCAAGTAGTTACTTTCAACCTTACTCAGAGGTAAAAAGAATAGTAAAAAAACAGGAGTAATTATAATTGTAAATTAATTATGGGGAACATTATTATCATAATCTCGAGAGTCTTAAAAGACATTGGGATACTAATGTTGATAAAGTTATCCAATCTATTTTTGTTGTTTTTTTTTATTAATATACCTTTTTATATGAATAAATGTGTCACTTTTCATGCATATTTTAAGGTGATTACAGCACTTCCTATAATTTTCTCAAAAAGTAATTTTTGTAAAAAATTAAAATTTTGGCAGAATAAATTAGACAATAATATCTAGAAAATGCATATATTTTAAAGTTTTAATTCCTTGCAGTTTCTGAGAAAAAAAAACAGAGGGCTTTAAATTTTGAAATATCATAATGAAAATAAATGTATTTCTAGACAACACTATTCTTAATATAATCTCCAAATTAATGTCTTGTTAATGATTTTTTAAACTTTGCCTCGTTAAGTGCTATCTTCTGGTGTAAACTGGTGTAAATCGTTGCAAGAATCGAATGATGACAGAGAGTGTACGATATGATAGTTACAGGCGCGTTGCAATAGAAAACAGTCACTAATTTTGGCGAATTTTAAAAAATCATTAGCAAGACATTAAGAGCACAAATTTCGGGATTATACTAAGAATAGTCCTGTTGAGGAATGCATTTATTTTTATTATGATATTTCAAAATAGCTCTTTGATTTTTTTCTCGGAAACTGAAAGAAATTAAAACTATAAAATATGTACATATCTAGATAATATTACCTTATTTATTTTGACAAAATATTAATTTTTTAACAAAATTACTTTTTGAAATAGCCTTGTTTCAAAATTGTAAGGGATGCAGTATTCACCTTAATAATGGATAAGAAATATGCAGTTTTTTTGTAAATTTTTAGGGAATCATTTTGCCCGAACCTGTCGGGTTAAAATTAAATGATCGTGTTAAAGTATTTTACAATATTGTTGACAACACATATTATTTTACACTGTAAATGTAAATTACAAAAAATATTTGTAAAACACGACAATTAGACAATCTAAAAATAATTTGGTAACTTTTTTTATAAGGTACAGTTCATCAAATTTCTAGAGGTGTTCGACGCCCAGACAGAGAACGCGCTACGTGTGACTAAGATAGCTATTGTACAGTCTGCTAAACAAGTTATTTTAAATAGTTTTTAATATTTTTAGGTAATTAAATTTTAAAAGTGTGGAATAGTTTAGGGATTAAATTGGTCTGATTGGACTTTCTTAGAACGTTTTTAAAAGCAGCTAAAGATAGTATGTAGAATTGAAAATAATTATTATGCCATAAAAGGTGTTTTGGAATTCCTTCAACCTTTTGAAATTGAGTCAGAAAATATAAATTTTATAGGATAGCGATATTTTTTACTATTTTATATATTGTGGGCTCAAAGTCAACACACCTTACACCACATATTCTCCTTTCCACTAGGCGAGCCTGAAGATGAAGTGATGTTACTTCGAAACCGGTCGCACTCAATGTTTTGTTGAATAATTAAACATTGGACTTTCCTTGTGAGATATAAAGGACTTTTTCTCCCCCCTTCACCTTAAAAATAGCGGAAAATACCTATAATTTTTTTGTAGGCCTTTGTAAATCGTGGAAATAGTTTATATTTTATTTCTACCTTATTAAGGAAAATGGTACCTATTTTTAATAACGGTTGTTTCTGAAACATTACTAAAATTTTCGAAATTTTGTTTTTCTACAAAATAATAAACTATACTATTTAGAAAAAAATTTATTTCTCTTATAATTTTATAAAAAATAACGGGAATATTTACATTTCTTGATCTATTAAACAAAACGATAAATTATCTCGACGAATGACACCATGTTCTAGTACGGAAGCTAGCTTTACATTTTTGTTGGTGTTTTCATGGGTTTCATATCAATTTTTTGTAATTGTAGTTTACACGTACATATACCTCTTAACACTTGTTTGCTTTATTAAAAAAGTGTGTTGTTGTGATTTACGTCGAAATAAGTCAAAAACAACTTGAAACCCCATATAAAATCAAAAAGGAGAAACGGAAAAAAATTGAGCCTGTAAATGAACACAACTCAGAAACAAAAATAGCTATCTAATAATAAAAAAATAAAATTTGATTCTTGTGCAGCTTCATCTATATCATTAACTGTTTTTGGTTTTTTAATGGTTTTTATTGGTGATGAAAATTCCGATATCTCACGGTTATCGATTCTTTTTTTCTCTCCAGAAATGCGGACGACAGTGTTTTTAGATACTCCTGTGGCTGCAGCAACACGATCATTTACAGTTTTAAATGGTATTGAAGGTGAATTAAAGTTTCCTTCTCTTCTCATAAACTCTATAACATTGGCTATTATTTCGCGAGATTGACTGTTAATCACGCGGCCTCTTAATTTGCTATTAAACTCCATACTTAGGTTCTATTAAACTGTAATGAGCAAAAAACAGAAACGAAAATAAAAGAAATGTTTTAGCGAAATTTACATCTGACATTTACGTCTGAATGAAATAGTGAAATACTTGATGCGCAGAGTGTACTTTCATTGCGTAAATCCGTCGGGATGCCTGTCAGTAGTGCTTTCTCTGTCTAGCCGTCGAAAGCCTCTAGAAATTTGATGAACTGTATCTTACAATCATTTTAGTCTTAGAGAGATGATTTCCTTTCATTTCTATGAATTTATTGGTGAGATACGTGGGACGTAAATTTGTTTTAAATTATTTCTTCGGCTTTCTGTGATATTTGAATGGAAAAATTTTGCAAATGATGAAATATTTAAAAAATATTAATATAATTATAGACAATCCGTGTTTCTGTGGCAAAAGTTTAATATAATTTTTTTTGTTTCAGGCATCGCAACTGATATTTGTATTACTCTTTGCATATTCCCACACTATCAAACCACCTGGATATGTAGAACCGCAGAAAGACGGAGACCCGGTAAGTCAACATTCACACTTTTTGTCCCCAATAATTTTCGCAGCAAATTATTACACAAGATACAATAAATTTAAAAACGTAGACACGGGCGCTCTAAAACCAGTACTAGAATTCTGTGAAATGTATTACTAGACGTAATTTTCATTGCGAAACTAATCCACATCCATAAATATTAAAATATTGATGTAATTAATGTTGTTGTGAAACATTTTCATGTGAAATAAAATCACATTAATGACAAGTACTACTTTAGGAATACGTTTAAGCAATCTTTCATCAATTATATTTAGTCAAAGTATAGCTGATTCTATTAAATTTAAATATACTCGTATTGTCTTGTTAATTAAATTTAAAAATCGTGACAAAATTAATTGGTACATGGACGTTTTGTTGTTTTCAATAGGATTGTAGACCTAGATTTGGACTAAGATAATCAAATCATATAAGTATGTTTACTTACATATCTTGTAATCTCAATATTTGTGTACCATTTAAGGTTAAGTATAAATTGAATGGTAAATCATTTTATGCGGGGTGTTTCATTGCGCAAAAAACTAACAGAGATACAGAGGGGTTTATTAATTTTGGTCATTTCTTTATGAATCACGAGGTATCGTTTTTTATATTTCCCATAGGAACTTTAAGGTATCCAAATGATGAGAATATTTGTAGAACATACAGGTCCGAATTGGAAAAAACTTGACAAATTCTTCCAGGCTCAAAATAACACCCTGTATAATAGGGTGGAGTGAAACAGGAAGAAAATATTTTATTTTATTTTTGAAACGTAATAGTGCGGAAAAGTTGCTAAATGTAAGAATTATTAACGGGCTATTTTTATTTTATTTTTAAAATGTAATCTTCAGGGCTCTACACCTACTTGAATTTTTATTATTTTTCCGAATAATCTAATGAAACGGAGTAATAAAAGAAATAGTATCACTTTTGCAAATATTTTAATAAAAATGTAAATAAACAATTTAAATATGTTTTGTTTATAAACGACAGCGAGTACAACTTAACAGTATAACATAGACGAGCAAACAAAAGAAATAGGTATATGAAATTCATGCATTGTGTATTCCGCCTTAGTGTTAAATCGAGGTAGTATGATTCTAGAATGAATCCTTGCACGAATAAATCCATCTCTAGAGTCATGGCCGACAACAAAATTGGAAGCTTCTGTTACAACCTTTACGCACCTCTCTACTACCTGTGTATGGCAGGGAAAGGACAAAAAATCTACAGGACAAGTTCCTGCATCATTTATAAATTATCTAATATCTCCATCAGTTGCAGTACTTAAAAGGAGGTCCTTTCGCCACCCCTCTCGCCTCCCATGTTAAAAAAAAAGTTATTAGATTATGACTAAAATTAATTTTTTTCTAATAGTTGAAGTCCTTATTTATCTAATACTGAACTTTTAACTATACCTTACCTTGCAAATTGTTGATAATTTTTTTTTAATGTGAGTATTTGTACAGTGCCTCACGAGAAAGTAAGTCCTCAACAACAATTCTCGAATTATACTATTATTTATTGATTAGATGGAGTAGAAAAAAAAATATGGTTTTTGAAATATTTAGGTTTTGTTTTTTACAATACAATATATAGGTTACCGTGGAATTTATTGGGAAATTCATATTAAAAAAAAATTTCAAGTAACCTAGTTGAAAATTTTTTGTGATTTTTTAATATTAATTTCTCAATAAATTCCACGGTAACCTATATATTTTATTGTAAAAAACAAAACCTAAATATTTTAAAAACCTTATTTTTAGTTTTTTTCTACTCCATCTAATCAATAAATAATAGTAAACTTAATTATAATTCGAAAATTGTTGTTGAAATCTTACTTTCTCGTAAGACACTGTACAAATACTCACATTTTTAAAAAAAAAATTTCTCAAAAATTTGCACGGTAAGGTATAGTTAAAAGTTCACTATTAGATAAATAAGGACTTCAACTATTAGAAAAAAATTAATTTTAGTCATCATCTAATATTTTTTATTTAACATTGGTGGCGAAAGGACCTCCTTAAAAGAGGTGGTGCTGTAACTGAGCAATTTTGCCAATCAATAAGCTCATAATATTCACTTAAATCGAAATCCAATTGAGGAATAACAAATTCTCATACGTCTGTAGATATTTTTGTGCGAGCCTTCAATATTCTTCGTAAGCCAATTTGTTTTGTAGCAGGACGATCATTAGAAAGCATTGCTAGAAGAAGGTTCCCCGGATGACAAAATACGCATTTCGGTTGATAACAGGATCGATGGCTGCCTTCAATTCGTTGTTCAAGTAGCGTGACAACTGTATCGTTCTGAAGACGTGTCTTCCTCCATCACTACACGATGGTTTTCTTTTAATGTCAAACCACACTGGTGAATAAAATTTTACCACAAATTCAGCGATTGTTCTTAAATATGTAGACGGACATTTACTTCCGATGTAAAGATGCAATATACGGTTTGCCTTTGTAAGCCATCGTTCGTGTGATAATTTACCTGGATTACGAGCTGCTAGATCGAATGAACAGTTTCCTCTAGAAATTGGGTGACACATTTCATATAAGTACTTTTGATCAGTGCTAAGATTCCTAATAGCTGCAGCGTCTAATTTTGGTAAAGGGCTAACAATGGGAATGAAATTTACTACGGCCAATTTTTCCTATAGCTTCAGAGTATACACGAGGTCCTAAAATTTCTCCGTCAAGATATTGAAAAACATGACGAAGATGCAGTTCATTCATATTTAGCTGACATATCATCCACTATTAAAAGCTTATTTGTACTTGTAAAAAATTAAATATAGATATGGCAATATGTTTCCCCGCACCTATTGTTGTATTTTGAACCTGGATCTTTGAGCAATGATATATGTTCTTCGATTTTTATTTTGCGATGAAATTTGTTTCTAATTTCTTGCTGGCACATCGTTTTATTTATCCTTTCTTTCATCGAAGTTTAATGCTCTAATCTCCGGAGTCGATGTTTGGAATTCCCTTTTTAAATCAAAACGGTTTTTTTGACGTGCCCTTCGTACCTTACTTCGGTCAATAACTGAAAACGATAAGTCCCAAATCCTGTAATACAGCAGATTCAAGCACTGCTGCAGAACGGTCCGAAATGCCAAATTGGTCAGAAATGCGAACTAGGTTGAGAATAAGCAATCTCATTTGCTGGCCTGTACTGCAACCTGCATGTTGATGGAAGCTCTGACTTAGCTTCTTGTTTTTTTGTCAAATTCTCAAGCTCTACTGACACCTCAGACACAGATGAATAAGAAATACTGTCTCAGTCAAAGTTTTCAATATTGTCATTGTCTACTTCAAACTTAAAAGAAAGCTGATATGCATACGCCTTGATCTTATTTTTCTTTCTTCTTTGGATTTTAATTTATTTGTTTCAGTAACGTCTATTTTTCCAATAACAAAGTTCGTTGATCGTGAATAAATTCTTGCTCTACATTTGGTATTTTTCGTTTTTTAACACAGCCACATGTATGAAAAAAAGCACATTTACATGCAGCAATATCGAATAATTTCTTTGAATCGCCTTTATATTTCTCAACTTTTAACTTATAATTGTCATTTCGTTTAGTTTTAGGATATCTAATAAGGGTTTGGTACTTACCCAGGATATCTCGAATTAATTGTATAATGCGATTTTTCGATATAGTAGGAATTGAAGCTTTTTCCCAGATCACTTCGATTTCATTAGCAAGAATTTGAGAAATTTCTAAAATACTAGGATCTATACCGGAGCTCAAAACCTTAAGTTCATTTCGAATAAGCAAATATCGCTTCATGATATTTTCCACAGTTGGCAAAACATTAGAGGGTATATTCGCTGGTGCACCAAATATAGGACAATTAGTAGTTCCCCTAGTGTCGTTCACTCATTACAACATAAAACAAAGATCTTACTTCCGCGACTATCAAAAGAAGATTGAGTTCAGCTTAGAGCTACACAATTCGCCGTGCATAAACGAATATAAACTGGTCTTAACTGGATTGAACAAGTTTGAAGAGTTTCGTGACATAATATTTGGGATTTTCTGGATTTGTAAAAGTTTGATACCAGGCACTGGTGAATAGGTGCATTTGGTTTATGTTTTTTACTAGAATGTTATGTATTTATTTTTCACTGAAATTTAAGGAAATAGTTTACTATAAGTAAAGGCAACTTTCAGTTTGTATTAAAAGTTAAAAAATTAAAAAAAAATTGTTTTTTAAAATTGTTGTTGGGAGGTAGAGCCCTAAAGACATTTTTGTTTAAATTGAAATTTCAGAAAATAGAAAATATATGTAGAGGCAACTTTTCTTAGATATTATATAGTAAAAAATAATATTAATTTTTTAAGCTCCACCCTAACTGTATAAAGATTTTTTATAAATTGTTTCACACATTTCGAAAAAACAAAAAACTAAATTTGCCGACGTATTTTTGTTTTTCTGCAGATAATTAGGTATACTACTAAATTTAAAGGTTAAAGTTTCAAAATAATGGTGGCTTAAAATGTAAGTTTATTATTAATTGTATGACGTTTTAATTAATATTATACGATCTAATGTACTAAATTTTTAATTTTTAGAATTTATGATGAAAAAATCAAATCAAATCAATCAAAAATATCTAAATATAGCTCTATATTTAAGATAATACGTTCAAAACTCATAAAAGAATAATGCAACATTACAAGGCGTATTATTTATTTTTTTATATTTTTTGAAGGTCTAATCACTATAACGTTAATATTAGTTTACGTTATAAGGAGATATTGCAATTTACTACGTTTTACAACCTAAAATCAAATAAAATTTTATCATTTCACACCATCATTAGTTTCCGACTGTGGTTTAAAATATTAACAGTTCGATACAACTGACAGTTCAATCATATCTGTTGTTGAAATTTTTACCGGGCTACCATAAATAGTGGTTGGTTAGCACGGTATAACATTTCAGTATATCATAAAACAATTAAACGTACAAGAA